CAGTTGGCTTTCAAGTTGTTGGCCGTAGTCACATTTTGCAGCCTGTGTTTGCAGTTGGAGGACAAAATCACGAATACTCTGAGATTCGGATCGAATAAGCGAATTGAATTTCGCTCGTTCTGCGGCCACAAAATTGATAGGCTTAAAATGACTGAGAATTAACTTCTTTAGAACATCGAATGTGCAATCGATCGGCGCCGTAGGGAATGATAAATTCTTCACAAGAGCATAAGCATCCTTCCCAATGTAGTGCAGGAAATAAGCTGTCTTCTTTTTATCATCCAGATCCGATTTGGTAAGACACCAAATGCTGAAGCGTTCCAAATAATCCTCCACCTCCCGTGCAGTTGAATTTACACTGAGCGATTCCAATTCAGATAACATTGTGATGAAGAGAAAAAAATTCCGGACCGCGACGCCAAATGTGATAATTAGAATAGTGGTAGGTATCGTAACTACCGAATGTACGCGAAGTATAAAAGTCCGAATATGGACGAATGAATATCGTATATTTTCGTATATCGCGGGCGTACTATATATCGCATCGTAAAACAAAGGCATATAAAAATACACTAAACAGAATGAATAGAATAGAGTCAATGTTCACCACATCCACCACACGTTGAATGAGCGTGCGGGTGTTTATAGTCTCTAATAGGTTGGAACCTTAAACGTTCAGATCTTCTCAATGTCGGATTGTCAGGTTCAGTGTTTGTTTCATGCTCATCAGAACCATCTGTAAGAGAATCAGAAAGGTCATTAGTGTTTGAAGCAACAGACGTATTGCCGCCAAACTGACCTCTAGCATTGAATTCGACCTGATCAACATGCCGTCTGTGACTTGAGAGATCTTCGAGGTCAAGAACCGTGACCATACGATTCCCGTTCCTCCCAATAACAACACCAGTAGATGGACGTAGATCGTTACCCTTGAAAAATGTTACGTCGGCAGTCCCAATGCATTCCAGGTTCGTGCGTAAGGATCTCGACTTGAATAGCTCTGCTGGACTCTTACCAGTAATTGAATGAGCAGCATTCCTGTACTGCATCAAGAAATTATCAATACCTCGATCAAGATCATGAAAAGTAACAGGGGAAATAGAATTGATGGCAGATTTCAAAGTTCGAACAAAATTTTCAGCGAGTCCATTAGACTGTGGATGACGGGGAGCAGTAAATAAATGACGACAACCAAGTCCTTTTAACCAATATTCGAGAGATTTCGCTGTGAAGTGTGAGCCGTTATCAGTGACCAAAACAATTGGTACACCTTCACGACTAAATAGTTTCCTCAAAGCATACTGAGTAAACTCAGAACTCGGGGATGTCGTGAGAAATACTTCCGTCCAGCGTGAATAGGAATCTACAACCACCAGTGCATAATATTTGTTCAAAAATGGACCGCAATAATCTGCATGAATGCGTTGCCATGTTTCACAGGACAATGGCCAAGGAATCCATTTGGATGGTTTGGAATGAATTTTGTGTGTACAATTCATACAATCCTTAGCCGTACGCGCAATGTCTGCATCCAACTCTGGCCACCAACAAGTAAGTCTGGCAAGAGACTTCATTTTGTCGATGCCTAAATGTCCGGAATGCAAATCGGATAAAATGGCACTTCTGTGTGTTGGTGGAATCACGACACGATCGTTATAACACAACAATCCATCAGGTGTCAATGCTAAACTGTCTCGACGAGCATAAAATGCGGGAAATCGACGACGTTCTTGGTGCGTCCATCCTCGTCTTAATGCAGAGATAACGGATGAAAAGTATTTTCGGGTATCACGCACAAGCTCGTCTCGTTTAATCGGAAGCGGTTGTACTAACAAACAATCAGAAACATTAGATTGTGATAAACTTTCTGGAACTCTGGATAGATAATCGACGTGCTGAATGGATTTAGCACCACGATGAATAATGTCATATGTATACGAACTGAGAGCGATGCTCCAACGTTGAACCATGGCTGCGGATGACTTAGCCAATGATTTCATAGGATGGTATATGAATTTCAAGGCTTCATGATCGGTCACAATCGTGAATGGTTTACCAAAAAGATACTTGTGTAGTCTACTTACACCCCAGTAGACAGCAAGAGCTTCACGCTGTGTTTGAGAATAGCCCTGTTCGGCTTGTGTTAGTCGACGGGATGCACAAATGACAGGACGGCCATTTTGTTCGAGAATAACACCTAATCCAGTTGGAGACGCATCAGTTATAACGGTTGAATGATCTTTCGCAGAAAATGGTTTCAAAATAGCGTCAGATTTAAGATAATTGAGTAAAGAACGCAAAGTTTTCTCATGCTCAGATATCCATGAAAATGTTTTCAGAGATAACAGTTCAAATAGACAATAAGCTTTCTGAGAAAAGTTAGGTATGAATCGGGAATAATATTGCAATGCACCAAGTATGGAACGAAGTTCGGACAGATTAGAAGGGGATGGAGCATTGACTAAAGGCGATAAACGTTCATTATCAGGAGAAAAACCATTTCCATCAACAGTGTAGCCTAAACAGAATAGTTTGGAAACAGAAAATGCACATTTCGAAGAAGTAACGGCAACATTTAAGTCATGAAATCTTTTGAATAGTGCAAGCAGCGTGAATCCGTATGTAAACTTATCAACATCATGAACTATCACGTCATCTTGATAGGATACAACACCTTCAAGACTGTCACTAATTGAATTGATCACATCTTGAAATACAGCAGGAGAGACATTAAGTCCGAATGGCAAGAAATTATATCGATATAATCCAAATGGTGTATTGATGACTGTGCATTCACTAGTAGCATCATCAAGTGGTATCTGCAAGTATGCATCCTTCAAGTCTATTTTTGAAAAGATTTTTGATCCCGCTAGACGATACAACACATCTTCAGGTTCTTCTGTAGCACACGAGCGTTGAAGTAGGCTTTTGTTGAGTGTCAATCGATAATCGCCACAAATTCTAACAGTTTTACCATCAGACTTTAATGGCGTAACAATCGGCGTAGCCCATTTGGAAGACTCGACAGGTGTCAGAATACCTTTTTGGCACAATGAATCTAGAGCTAGACGCACTGACGCACGCAAACCAAAAGGTACTATACGTCGTTTGAGGAAAATCGGATCACCAGAAACCAAGAGTTTCACTTTTGGTATGCGCATCCGGTGACTTCGTTTGAGGAAAATCGGATCACCAGAAACCAAGAGTTTCACTTTTGGTATGCGCATTCCTCCGGTGACTTTGGAGCAGCTCGCGATCGGCTGTTTTAATTAGGTTACGTTGAAATTTGAAGTAAGTAGTGAATTGTTAGCGTTAAGCGCACGTAAAACTTTGAGACGGATTACTGAATGACCGGAATTCGATACAAGAAAATTACAATCAACAAAGTTACCACTGGAAACTTTGACTGGTACAGTACATGAACTAGGAAGCGGTAAAGCATGTCCAGTGATACCTCTAACAGATAATTGTGTCGGTTTTAAAACAGCAGTAGGATAAAATGCTATAACATCTGACTCAGGAATAATGGATTCGACGCTGCCAGTATCAATGATAAAACTATGCTTTTTACCAGAGCCTGATATGAGCGTCTTCGACACATGCATAGAATTCGATAAAACGGATAAAAACATGGATGAGATGTTATCAGTCAAAGGTTTGATATCAGAATTTGAGTCGACAGTCAGTCTACAAGCTCCTTTGGACTTACAAACATTCTGAATATGCCCAACCTTACCACATGAAAAACATTTTGATTGGCGCTGTATGCAAGCATATCTGGAGTGGTCCTGTCCACACGAAGCACATTTGCCGAGAACTTTTTCGGTTGGCATATTTGACGATTTTGAATGTTAAAATTCAGTTGGTTGTTTTTGTTATGATAACGCATATTGGTTTCAAATTTACCGTGTGGGCGACCCCCCAGCCCTTTCGACGTTGGTGCATTAAATAAAACGGTCTCGTTGCAGTTAGTTACTTCTTTAACATCCCGGTATTGCTCGCAAATTTTTCTGATCGATATGAAGCGTTGATCAGTCTGTACTAGGAGCTTTTGTTGTAGATCTGGAAGATTAATTCCGGCAATGAGGCGATCACTCAGTTGGCTTTCAAGTTGTTGGCCGTAGTCACATTTTGCAGCCTGTGTTTGCAGTTGGAGGACAAAATCACGAATACTCTGAGATTCGGATCGAATAAGCGAATTGAATTTCGCTCGTTCTGCGGCCACAAAATTGATAGGCTTAAAATGACTGAGAATTAACTTCTTTAGAACATCGAATGTGCAATCGATCGGCGCCGTAGGGAATGATAAATTATTCACAAGAGCATAAGCATCCTTCCCAGTGTAGTGATGGAAATAAGCTGTCTTCTTTTTATCATCCAGATCCGATTCGTTAAGACACCAAATGCTGAAGCGTTCGAAATAATCCTCCACCTCCCGTACAGTTGAATTTACACTGAGCAATTCCACTTCAGGTAACATTGTGATGAAGAGAAAAAGTTCCGGATCGCGACGCCAAATGTGATAATTAGAATAGTGGTAGATATCTTAACTACCGAATGTACGCGTAGTATAGAAATTCGAATATGGACGAATGAATATCGTATATTCTCGAATATCGCGGGCGTACCATGAATCGCACCGTAAAACAAAAGCATAAAAATATACACTAAACAGAATGAATAGAATAGAATCAATGCTCACCACAGGATCCACATATTGATAAACGGGATCGATGCATTCGCCTAAGTTTCCCGGGTCGGTTTTGTTCTCTACTGACTGATACAGCGGTGTGCGGCAGTCGACCATGCTTCGCCGGTTGAAGGGTCAGGATAAACTCGTGACGAACTCCGTCGAAGGTTGAATCACCGAATCAAGCGTTTTCCCTCAGGCCTTCGGTCTATGTGGACGACTGTTGATCTTATTGTTTGAAACATATAATTGCAAGGACTCACGCGCAATATCATCTCCCGGGCTTTCGTTTTCCGGGCAGTGTCCAATGATGGAGTACGGTTATCCTGGCTATGTAGATGGTTACTACCAAACGCAAGAGGAAGAGGAGGAGGAGGAATGGGATCGGCAGGCGTATTTGGATCCCATGTGGGAGATTCAGCAGAAAAAGGTGAGACGATGAGGTCGCTTTCCAAGCCGTAGACTTTCACTGCATGGTGTAATTCCTATCTCAGAAAAATAAACACTTCAATTGAAAATATCGAAGAAGATTTCCAAGATGGCCTCAAGCTTATCCAGTTATTGGAGACCCTCTCAGAGGAGCAGCTTCCTAAACCAGATCGTGGTAGAATGCGGTTTCACAAACTGGCAAACGTGAACAAAGCTCTGGAATATATTCAGAGCAAAGGAGTTCAGCTTGTTTCCATTGGTGCCGAAGGTTTCATGGCTCCTGGTGTTCCGTGTGCTTATTGTCTTATTTACAGAGATTGTGGATGGAAATATAAAAATGACATTGGGTATGATTTGGACAATAATCCTTCGGTTTTGTATACAAGATATCACAGTAGAGGGTGAGTCTCAAAGAGCAATGCTGTACATTTCGATTGTTGATTGCCACGTATTTTACGTCATTAAGCTATTTCATTGACTTCTCTTGGAACCTCTAGGCTGAATTATCTAAATCTCACAGGGCATCCTGATGCCCAAGTAACCACAGTCGTTCATGCACTGTATGGATTCAGATGACTAAGACATGTGTCATTATTTTTCACTGTTAATGGCTTGGCTGCATATAATGATTAGCTTTCTGGGAACTTCGAAGGTAACACAAGTGCAATCGGGGTAACAAACAATGTGGTTGTGTTAATACGCTAATGTGTGGTCTTGGCCACGAAAATTAGGTAAGATGCATAGCATTCGACGTCGATAATATGCAGTGAATGAACAGTAACGCCTCGATCGGTGGGCCGAATACTGCAAGCAGCACCTGGCGTGGGCACCAACTGTCATTCACCTGGAGCACACAGTTGACTCAGCACCCTGGACGGTTAACGTGGAGCCCTCCAAGGCCTCGGAGATTTATGACTGAATGTGTTCTCTCAAGCGTCCCGGAGCTTCTGGTCCGGATGATTTTCTACCCGCGTCCAAAGATGGGGTTAGATTCTCAATCAACGCTTGCCTGATTTATTCACCTGCATTTGGGCAAACTGTCCCAGATCGCTGGGCGAGGGGAGTCGGTGATATTGCCCATTTTCAAACAAGGGGCTCGTAGTGAATATGGTAACCACAGGGGCAGCTTAACCCTGGTTGTAACTAGACTGCTGGAGTCACTTGTGATGGTGGTTCGTGGAACAATGACTCGAGAGCAGCAAACGGGGTTGCGTCGACCAAACAGTCACGCTCCGTCAGGTGCTAGAACAGCGTCACACGTACGAATGATACACTGTTTTAGTATTATTGGAAATCCAGGGCTCATTCGACTTGGTTGACTGGTCTGTTCACCTTGTCACACTTGCCCATCAATAAACGCCCCGGACGTTTTTGAACATAATAAATTATTTATATTCTCAGACTTGTGGACTTGTGAGAGTATCCGGAGATCTCTCCAGAAGCTTTCGTACGCAAAGCGGCGTCCATCGGGAGTTTCAGCTCTCTCCATTCCTATTTAATTTCGTGATTGATGAGGTAATGAGGCGAACGATGGAGGGTCTTCAAAAACCCTGTGACGGAAACCTTGTCTATCTGGAATATTCAGATGACATCGTTCTTGTCTTCGAAGAGGAGGAGAATGCGCAGTTTTTGGATGAACCGATGAGGGCCATCACGTTCTTTAGTATGCACTTTGCACTCAAAGTGTAAGGCTATTCTCGTGGAACTGCAGTCACTAAACATTCCACCCACAATCCAGGGAGAGGCACCGAGAGTTGTGGAGCGTCTTACGTATCTTAGAAGTTGTATTAGTTTTGTGTGACAAATGAGGTCATTGCACGGCTCCGCAAGGCTGGGGTCGAGTTTGTTGATTAAGGACAGAGTGATATATCCCTGAATTTCAAGGGACTTGTGTGTCAACTACAGCGTGGACTGTTTTATCGTATGTCTGTGAGACTTAGTCTTTTCGAGCAGCGGAACTGAGACTTCTTCAGATGTTTGACAGTCGTTGTCTCAGGACCATAGCTCGTGTGGGTCGGTGTCGGCGAATCCGTAACGAGGCCGTTAGAAGGCGAGTTTTCGGCTGTTCAACAGGGATTTCCGGTACCAGAAGCTGCGTTGGTTACCCATGTATTGCGCATACAGAACCATCGTTTCCCAAAGAGAATGCTGTTTTCAGTGCCCATTTCAGGGTAGCGAAAGCAGAGATGGCCAACCCTTGACCTGGTAGAGGGGCATGAAAGATGTCACAAAACGTCCGGGTACTGTTGGACCAACGCACCTTCCAGGATAGGAGCCGCGTGTTCCCCAATGCCCCTGGTTGAAGACGCTACAGAATGTATTGTGTGTGTATTGCACCAGCACCTGGTGCTGGTGCTAATTTGCTTCACGTGTGGCGTTGAAAATGCATTTCCCTAAATCCCAAGGGTCGCGCGTACCAGACTTAAGTAAGGGCTGTGTTGTATGGATGCAAAACGTGACATTTGGGGACCGATGTGGTGAAAGTCTTCAAGTTTTTAACCACTGATGCCTCAGAAGCGTTGGGTGGTATTAGCGGGTTAGTAGGTGATTAGAAAATGGGTATTTGGTTGTGCGGCATATACTTTACCCGATTAAAACATCTAGCACCATCAACTGTGGTGACCCGGTCATTTGCTACGCATACCTAAACACCATCTGCCGTGAAAAGAGTTGTTTTCTGTGTTTCCTTTGGAATAGCTCAAACCGCTAGGTGGACAATGTTTGACGTGACAGGAGGGCGTGAAAGAGATCACGAAGGATTTGGGTGTTCTACGCCATCCGTGATCGGGTCCGCGTGACTCCACCTGTGCTTGGCTGGAGCCATTGCAAGAAATGACGGTTGATCAGTATCAGTGGCGTTCGTGCTGGCAGTTTTTTCCACATCGCCTGATTGAGCAGTTGGATGTGTAGGTAGCTCAGAATGCTTGACATAGGCCAGCACTATGTCCCCTCCCTCACCCATTGTTTCTCCCATCTTTTCGCTCTATAGCTATAAAAATAACTAGATGATCTGTATGATTTTTCGGCAGCGAAGCATCAGTGTCGATACTGATTTTGATGCCTCTGAGGATGATGATCAACGGGTATCCAATCAATTAGTGGAGCGTGCGCTCGGCTGATCAATGCAATACGCACACTGGCACATCCGGCTGCGGCGGCCCCTGCATCACCAGAGATGCGCAGCCGCGACCCGGTAAGGAGCGAGGGTGTAGTCAATTCGTAATTGTGACATGTATCCTAGTTTGACAGGCAGCGTACATCAATGCAGACGGAATCCAGCGGGCGAGCAAAAGCCACTCGTTGCCCTTCAGTGTGTGAACAGTAAACGCAGCCAAGTTGAAAACACACTTCGAAGTATTTAGGTTTTCACTGTAGTCGGACACAAGTTGCAGCTGAGTGTGATGCACAGTGAACCAAGTGGTCAGTTCTATTTCTGGGACCTGCAGAGTGAGTATTCAGATTTGGGTGGGATAGGGTCGAAGAGGGAATACGTGAAAGTGTAAGAGTCGAGGTGTCAGCGGTAGCATGATTTTGTGATCCAACTGGTGACCCCACACGATGGCGGATTTAGCATGAGAGTACCGTAACTTGTAAGTCTCATGGTTGTACGTGGACCGGGATGTTGTCCGGGCCCCCTGATTTGGACATTTGGTCAATTAGAATCCTCGACCAAAGCATTTGGCTCAAGAGCCTTACCATAAAGCAGCTGTCTGACTGAAAATGCAAGGGGATTACCGTCCTTTTATAAGTCACCATACATGTTCAACCCCCTGAAGTGGATACCAGCAGACCTTCAGCCAATGACCAACCATTGACCATTGACTTTGTACGTTTTGCATGGACACTACACAATATACCTCAATGGGTCACGGAGGCACACAAACCGTCACATCACGGGAAGACCCGGTTTCTTTGTGACGGATTACGTACTGCAAATATGCATATGAAAAACGCCAAGGATGAACTCAACGTTTTTATATTTCACTCTCCGCCTGTTTGGTGATCCAGAAACGATGACTTATGAAGTGGATGTCTAGAAAGCTGCCCCATTGTCAGTGGTATACGCGATTCGCTAGGTTGGATTCCAGTGGAGTCCGTTCGGTTATACAGCTTCGTCTAGTTCAATGCTTATCGACCTGGAAGACTGTGTCTGTGCCTCAACGGACTGCAGTTCCGACGCCGAGAAGGATACATTCTATCAGTGATTATCCGGGTTCATTTCAGGAAAGCTATATCAACAGGCAATGAGTATGATGGTACACGCAAATCCCTCAAACGCCAAATCGTGTAGAGCCTAGGCAAAACCCCGTGGGCTTTGATGGACACTGAAAGCTCAGGAGGTGGAGAAAACTTGCCGCCGGTAACAGCCATGCCCTGTCCAAAATAGTACGATCGATCGGCCGTAGGAGAGAAATGGTCCGTGAAATGATAAATGAAAAAGATGGCTCATCAATTCCTTCGGAAAAACGCCGGCTAGAAAGATGGGTCAAACACTCCCAAGAACGGTTTAGCTGGCCTCCTGCAACGCAGCCTCTAGAGACAATGCACACAAGCGAATGAAGTGTGAATGGTGATTGCTTTCCTGAAGGAGAAACAAAATGCGAAATATCGGTATTGAAGCGTGAGAAAGCATCTATCAGGAAGGTCAGAGTCCTGAAAGCAACCACTGAATGCCCGATATCTACTGGGACTCTCAGCTCCGCTAGATGCTGACCAGACATACAACGCCCCCTCAATGTGCAGCACGTCACAGTCTTGTATCAAACTCAGACAACGCAAGCCAGCGTTGATCAAGGTTAGATAACGACCCCGCAATATGCAGCGTGTCACAGCCTCGTACTAAAGCCAGGCTGTCAGCGTTGGACCAAGTTCAGACAGTGTCTCTCCATTCAATAGCTTGAGGCGTCGTATTTTCGCATTCGCTTGTCCGGAATATAGCTGTTGCGTTCCCTCCTGTAAGTCTTTTTCCCGGCACTAGGCATTGGAGCGGGTCAGCAGTCGGATACAACAGATTGGCGAATCAGCAGGTATAACAACATCAGGACCAGGCGGTGTGTATCCAGCTTTTTTCAAATAAGGGGAAGAAACTTCGATGATCCATTCGGCGAAGCCGACTGATGCGATATGGAGTAGGGAGGTTACATTTGACTTTCAAGTGGATACACTTTGAACTGCCCTGCTATCACCTAATTCGAGATTCTATTTTACTGGGAACTCAAACGTAGGCTTGTTAACCTGTGGTAACGTCAACTGACGGACGCTGGTGGTCGATCTGTTGCATCATGACTAGGGTTATCGTTGACCACAACAGAATACTGTGTGGGGTTAAGTGACAGCGTAGTCTTTTTGGGGTTGTCGTTTTCACTGGCTCACACTGAAACACAACCTAAACGGCGTAGATGTATCTTTTCAGCCATATATATACACCAAAATGGTTGTTGAAATGTGGGTCTTGATACTTCCTCTACATTTCTTGGATCGTTGATTTAAACAGATAATGCTGTCAGCAAACTTTACATTCACATCACAGTAAAGCTACATGTTTTCTTGACGGGACTCACCGCTTATAAGGGTGCTGAAACTTCGCACATTCAGCTGAATAACATAGTAAACAGGAGATTCATTCGGGATTTGGTTGAATCTCCCGAAAACACTAACACTCGCAAACAAAGTTTTTCTTTTGTTTGTTCATCTCCGTGAACCCTTTTACAGTGATGGTCTTTAATGTCTTCAATTTGTCGACTGAGTTCACACGCCACAAACTGATTTCGGATGAGTTTTTTGTGACTGCGATATTGGATGTACGTTGATTACTTCTCCAGTTTTGGTGACCTGTTGTCTAACTGTATTCACTGTCAATAAGGACCGACTTGACGTACCGGTTACTTCGACCCGTTTAATTTTTTTTCGTTTGTGCTGACTAGTACCCAGGATGTTCTCTTGCGACTACTACTAATATTACTGCAGCTGTTATCAAAACACAAGTTTTTTCCCACCAATCTACCGCTGCTAATTTACTTCTTATATTTGTTTGCCAGAATTGTGCGCTAAGGAAGGTCTTCTCCTCTGGTGCCAGAGAAAAACGAGCCCCTACAAAAATGTGAACGTTCAGAATTTCCATATGAGGTAAATCCTCTCCCATTTTAAATATTACGGTATTTACGGTATTTTATATCGCGCTGAACATCTAAATTTTTATAGCTCGATTTCGGCTAAACTTTGGAGTCATAACTATCCAGTGTAGGCACATAGCATTAAGCTTGAGTTTTGTCCATCTGTTAACGAGTACACTATCCTCTTGTTCGGACATCCCTAAGTTCAGTCATTAGCAAGTCAGTTTCTGATATTTAAGTTGCACACAATTTCTTTGAAAATGCTGGTGAACTTCTGAATCGCATGTTTGGTTTCATTTTCGAACTGTGTACTGACCGGAAGTATTTAACTGACCCTACAGGAAAACTTTAAATATATGAACTCACGATTTGAGGGTCTCGATAGCAAAGTCCAACCAGGCTAGTAAACACGAAACTTAGTGTATGAGTTATCCAGGTATGAAATTTTCACGCTCTCGAAGTACGTATTCAACATAGCTTGAATTGGGTAATCACAGTGCCTGGCTTGAACAAAAAAGCTGTGATCTCTACTCATTAGAGGTTAACAACACATCGATTGACACACAAAGGTTTACAACAAATAGTTCACTCTGATGGTGAGTGAGCTTGGTGTAGGTTTATACCGATATGTTAGAATGTGAATGATGTAATACCCACTGCTCAGTTATTTCAGAGTACGACGCAGATGCAGATTATTACCACATGGTGGCCGCAATCGATAGGTCATAGAGACATTCGGTGTACTCCATAATAATGATGACTACTGTTCCTGGTAAGCGGCTCAATCGATTTGTTAGTGGTAAGTCCCGGTACCAAACCGGCATTCAGCCTTTTTAATGACGAATTGTCGTGTTCCGCCAGATGGGGAAAATTACCAAGCTCCTAGAAGGAACGAGATTCGATTTCACCTGGTCACTGAAGTGTCTGTATTTTTAGAATAATAGATAGCCAGATAAACTGATATTAGAGATCATCAGTAAAGCACAGCATTATCGGAATGACTCGATATCTATCCTAAGGTGTATCGACAGGAATCCCAAGACCAATGCATATTACGTTATGATGTCCTAAGGAACAGGCTTTGACATAAAACTCGTCAGGACACCTTACCTTGGTATCTAGCTCTTTTAGACACCTTAAGAAGTTTGTAAGACCTCTTAAAACCTCAATGTTTCAATCTCGAATTTATATAAAGAACTTTTGACTCTGGCAAGGTAGAGTGGCTGACGCGGAAACATGCCCTGCACAGGCTAACGCTAGTATGCTGGGTTAGAACTGTTCCCTTCTCCATAAAGGCTACCCTAACGTAAGGGGCGTGTGTATTGTAAACCTGGATTAATATCTACAAATGATTAGTTTACACCATTCCGGGGAGCGCTAATGACCATTGACAGCGTCGTCTGTCCCCGATCAAATACTCGAGATAAACTGATAGAAGCCTAATCGATCACAGTCGCCTTCAGGCATTTTGCACCACGCCACTTGTTTTCCTCCAGCCTTTCGGTTCCAACCTCCTATTTTTGTGAGGAATTCAAGGCAAATTATTCAGTGGCTGGGCATTCCTGGGGTGCGTCCTTGGCAGTGGTGAAGCACGAGCCACGTTTTCCTTATGAAGACGGTAGATTTACGTGAATTTTTCCATCCGATTTGAGAATCCCATTGTCTACTGTAGGGAAATGGACCTACATCCATCTGAATACTCCGAACAGTGTCTATACAGACTAGTAAGGACTAACTGGGGGTATGATTCGGGAATGTCTATGCAGACACCAGTCGGCGCACTACATAGGTGGTAGTTTCTGTAGGATATTCTGATCCCGCAGATTCACTTCAGATCTTCGATCGCGAACACGTCGGCTAAACACAGTTGTATTTCTCATAGAGGTGCTTTCAATTGGAACCTACCAAAGGCTCTCTGATGGATACTGTTTTGCCCACAGCCGTTTTTGAACCCGATTGATCTACTGTTTTTCTGCCTGAAGTACTACCCTTTCAATTCACCTTTCGGGGGTTGATGAAGAGTTGCTCCTTCTGAGACATCGTACACTAGTCCACGGTTAATTAAGAACACCAACTTTGGTTTTCCATGTAGTTATCCACACTCGAAGGGTCGGGCAATTTCTTGTTCTTTGTGTATAGACACTGGCTTTTTTCGGAAACCAAAGGCTGAACTGAAATACCTTGGAAATGGGCTTGGACTAGAATCATGATGACTGAGCGAAAACAGCAGATTTTCTGTCGTCCCGACTTCATTCAGTTTTTCACTCGTGACTGTGAAAATAAGCCCCACACACGCGAGACATTTTGACCCGATCTAGTTGTACAGAAGTTCCCGTAGAGATGACGCGCCGATCTTCATCGGAAATATCCGCGATTCGAAGTGTTTTTGAAGACAACGGTTGTGGGATTTATTTGTTCCTGTTGTTGGATACTTTCTTTAATTGACATGTGGGATGACTCATACGTCAAAGTTCACACCGCTTTTGAAGATGTCAGTGGAATAAAAGGGCAATGTAAACCATCGAAGCGACGAACACAGTCACAGTAAAACCATCTGCAATGACCATTCCTCACTAGTGACTGTATTGTATAACCTGTTGGCTTACTGTTTTGGCAGCCCAACTTGAATTACTGCCTTTCTGGTAGTAACAGTTAGGCTGCCGAATCATCCGCCACATTGTTTTTTTTTTTGAAATTAAGAATGCATCCCAAGTAACACCAAAACAACACGCCACAGCGTCCATTTCTCTGAAGCGGTCCCATAGGCAGACAGCACAGTGTTTTTGGAGACAATCAAAACGCTTGTGAGTGACATTCAGATGTCGCTTTATCACCGCCTGTACGAAGTTGGCTAGACGCAGACGTGTGAAGTTGTTTTTTTTCTTCTATCTAAATGAAATATCTCCTCAAGCCATGTTAAGTGATCGTGAAAGCATTCACCTCGCTTTGTAATTTCGCTGGAAGCACCTACACTTTTGTACACACCACTGTTCCACGCAGACACTCATCCCATATGTTGGCTATCGGTGGATCGATAAGTTAACCACATTCCATTTTCTGTTTCACCACTGTCTCCCGTATCAGTTGGAAAGATGGTCTAGCTTTCTGCGCTTTGATCCACCGGCATCGACCGGATTTGATTGATTACGCCAAATTGTCAAGGGTAAGATTTATCGCATGTGTCGTTTGTTCCGTATGCGAGCGTAAGAACCGGCATGCACTTCAATTCAAGATCATCCGGCATGTCCAAAGCGGGAATGCATTACCTTGAGTTAATAATACATTCACCACCTATCGTTCACCCTAAATTTTTTCCTCTATAGGACAATCCCATTCAAAATTTGAATTATGCATTCGACGTGGCTGAAAAGCATCTGGATATTCCTCGTATGTTAGATGCGGAAGGTGAGCTATTCTATTTTGTGTTCATGAGTTTTTACGTATACTGTTCACTCGAAACAATTCACACAGACCAGGTTCTTTCAGAATAGTGGTAGAAGTCACTGCATGGTTCCATGAGGGTTTGAACACGTCCGCTACTTTGCTAAACCTGACAACTTATACAAGACACACTATTTCTGAGACTGTTGAACACTGTTCGACAACCTACTGCTGGTTTCACCCTCTTTCGGATCATCAGTTGGGCGTATTTCCCTAGTTTTCATCCACCTTATGTTCTACGTGAACACCAAAGTGTGTGTAATTGATGAAATGTGCTGATTTACGAATTACATTTATGTGAACGGAAGACTCGATTGGGTCTCGTTCATGACATTCTTAAACTGAATGTGCTGCACCATTTTGGCACTATTCAGGATATCGGAGCATATTTTCTTGACGGAACACGTCACTCATAAGGTTGCTACATAAGTGCACTTTAAGGTTACGGAATTCGAAGTCTACTAAATTGTGTCATCATCGTCGGCAGAAGATGAGTGTTCAACCAAAGATGCTCTGTTGCCGCACACTGGTTTGACACTGAATCAAACTAGTGTTCGGAAACCATGGTACACGCGTTTTAAGGAATTGCTTCTTTTGTTCGGTTTCATGCGTCGTGTTCCCTTCACTCAGTTATTTCCATCTTATGCTTAAAGGCTACAGATTGGCTACAGTGCTCAGGCGCAGCGTCACTTCAATAGTTTAGAGCGACTGGGCGACTGTTCAGTCTGTTTTGGTCACAAAGGACTTTTGGCGCTGGCATTCATTATCGCATGTTGCTGAGAAACGGGTGGTTGGTCCTTTGGCATTCGGGTCCTTTTACTTCAAGTCGGCCCGTAGCGCTGGCATAACGAACCCTGCTGGTTGGTGGAACGGCGGGACTAATTGGTGTTCAGCGTAACCCCACGTTAGTCGACACACCTCGATGAGTGTGCGCTTAGGTAGCTAATCTATTTCGACAAGTATATTCCCCTTGGGAGTCCATGTGGTGTAGTCTGTGTGATTACGATTGTTACAGAATGGGTTAATGGCACACAAAAAATCCAGTGTGTGACAACTAGTAATGGAAGGCCAACTTGTTGAGGTGTCCATGTACGGTATGAACTGGCTCCTGCAGTAAATAGTTCGATTATAATTTTGTAGTGTATTTTCTATCGCATTGGGTTACCTGTCTTCTTTTCCGAATGTTACCGTCGGTTCAATATCATATCACAGGCACTGGGTTTCACTTTCCACCGACCGAACAACTGTGCATACAGTTTTCAATGGAACTTCCTTCGGGAAATGTAAGGTAAAGGTCAATATACAGTCACTTGAGATGTGGAACGCTGAAGCTCTTTTACCTACCCCCATGCTCTTTGTTTGGTATGGGAGATGGGTCAACAACTAGGCACTGTTAGGTTCGCCGAAGTATCTGCGCGTGTCCGGGTTCAGCTGAAACCGCCACTCGATTTCTCAGTGGACATAGATTTTGCACTCGGTTCCGCATATAGATACATTTTGCTCCCGATTTCGCATCTAGCTACGTTGTGACCTCAAATTATGTAATGGAGTTAGGCGATGCAACGAGAAGACGCACCTTAACCAGGTTTAGAACAATCTTTTGAAACGTACAATGGATATCCCTTAGGAAGCCTCAAAACTCGCAATACCAAAGTGTGGAGAACGGTTCTGGATCAGTCGAGCTGACATGTGTTGGTGTGCGGTCATCGGAAGGATGAGTGGTCGTCATCTGAATTCCACTTGACCTCAACCCCCCTCAAACTAGATTATCCGAGCACTCACGACCCCACAAAGACTAGGGAAAATCTACCAGTGGCCACCGAGGTGAATCATCAACAGAAGCACCCTGAAGTGGAAGATTAACGAACCAAACCCGATCGGAATTAATTTGAACCCTCCCAATCCACAAAAGCAAGATTTTGACAACTTCACTAACCGACAAGAGCTGTTAATTGACACTCAACACTGATCTAGTGTGATAATCTGAAGAGGACTGACTTACTGATTGGTTCCTCGTCTGCCTTATAACCTGGCCAATTTGGTGACCTGCTCACTTGGCCTGATAAAGCTTTTTTGTCAAAAGCGAAACGTTGCCCAAATAAAAACTACCGATTGTTTATCAGGCTCTTCTGAAAAGAGTAAAAGATTTTCTATAGAGGAGAATGTCGGTAGCTCAGGTAGCGTAGATGGTCGTTGGCTTGTTCGCTGAGCGGTTGTGCACAACCGCTACCCCCCGGTTACGCACAACTACGCACTGAGATGTCACCTTTAGTGATGAAACGTTTGCAACCAAACTGCCCAGCTCAGCGAACAAGCCAACGACCAGAGTAAAAGATGTTTAACATGATGAGCTGACAAAGGAGTTTTGTGAAGTAGTTATGTGAATGCCTAGATATGTGTTCGACTCCTCGTGGAACTGTGCAACTCTCAATGAACAATTCATATACACTTTGTAAATAGTTCACTTTGGAATACCGTTCTTGGTAAATGTACTCATGAGAGTGTGGATTTTTCCCTTTGGCTTCATTTAATGGACCGGGTTATTTGACCTGATTGGTTATGGACTGGCCGGTTTGTTTGGAACCATGATCTTTTGAAAAATATCCGGTAATCTGACTTGTGGATGTACGCGTCACATCCAATACTGTTCCCGAACACCCATTGTTTAACACAAGGTGAATTCGTTTGTGTCAGTATTTTTTCACTGTTTTCGAAAAATATTGGCAGATCAAGCAACCCGCATTACATCCGTCAATTAACAACCGCGTTTTACCAAAGCTTACTTTATCATTCGAGTCTAATTTCCGGTAGCTATCCGATCTCACCGTTTGACGAAGTATCATCACTATTTAGATATATTATCACTCTCTGGTCAGGAAGCTCTTCTGTAGCACAGAAACACACGGAGTACCCAAGGTGCATAGTACTTCTGGTTGTTGGACACTAGACGCAGACACCAAATATTCTCTTGTTTTTCGGACTACCGGGTTATAGATGACTCGGATGGATTACAAAGGTTTGAGTACCCCGTTATCTTTATCCTAAGAAAACAGCTTTTTATACATCCATATATATATATATATATAATGGCTAAAATAGATGGAAAAATGACACGACGCCACATCGCCAACAGACGGGATGAGATGAGTGCTGAGAAACAGCAACGTCGACAAGCTGCTGGTTGGAATCGGTACTTCGGAAACTTTTCATTTCAGATTGGCTGTTCGTGGACAGCTGGCCGTTTTTTAGTCAAGGCTATTTTCAGGATCCCTTCGCCACCTGGGTTGTTACCTAGACCGAATTTAGTAACCTCAGGTGAAGTGGTCATTTTGTTGTTAGGAAGAAGCTGATTTACGAATTTTTATAGATTCTTCAACTTAGTTTTGGAAAAATCGATGGGTCTGGGTCCGTTTGCTGAATTTATTTCCGGGAGTGTTCCTGAAGATGTTTCCCATGTGAATCTGAGAGCCTCTTTATTCTTATTGCTTGTCGGATTTCCACACGTAAAAACAGTAATTAAGTAGATCAACTCCATTTACCGTAAATTCTCAAACAGTGTGAAACGGATTCGTTTACGGTTTACTCTGTGACAACCGAAAATGGCTTTATCTGGTCGATAATCCCTATATGACTTTGGGAAACATGATGGATCACCGAATCCTACTACTGTTTCCAAGGCTAGTAATTTATCACCAATAGGTGCGAACGGATCATATGATTTCAAAAGAAACAAGGCGATTTGTTTAGCAAGAAGATGGATGAACTCAGCACTCTTTTGTCATCGTAACTTTCCGAAACAATCGTTCCGGGCGGAAACGGGTTCTTGTCAGGGCAGGAAGCGTGATCAGGTGATTTCTCTGAACATTCAGAATTGGAAACGCTGCAAATGAATGAAACTCTACCCATAGGTATAGTTGTCTAGTTTTTTCGGCAACCGATATATCATGAAAACAGTTGCAAGTTTACCTTCAGTTGTTAAAAGATTGAACAATACCAACCGCTTCGGTGACAGTTGTTCAAGAATGGTGAAACGTTTATTGGAAAGATCACGGTATCATCAGATTACCAGACGAGCAGGTGGTTTACATTATGATATCGATGACTCGGTGCACTCTGTAAGAAACTGCTACTTTCAAAACAGTGAATACGCAGATGTGAGACACCAGACAAAAATTGCCACGAACGAAAGTATCCTTCCAGACAATAAGCACTATGCCATTTTGTCCGTCAAATATGGGTTGTTAACTGCATTTTGTAGTTTTGAACCAGACATTCTCACCTAACCAGACACTGTGTTTCCTCATTTTAACAGCCCATGTAATGTACCCTAAAGTACTGCATATCTGGGTCATTCAATTGTTGGTGTGGAACCTTCAGTCTTTCTGGCTCAGAATGATCTCCATTTTCCACATACTAATCAGGTATTTCTGATGGTCTAAGTTCCGCATCCTGTCTGTCCGAACGCTCACAGTTTTCATGCTTTTCCCTTTTAACAGATATGGTGAACACAGTAAGGCCCGATGAACGATCGGTGATGACTTACGTCTCCGCCTATTATCATGCCTTCGCGGGTGCACAGAAGGTAGGTTTTCGGTACCTACACTAATCAAATGAATGATTACTACGTGCCGCATGCACAGCAGGTTGGGCTCTCATACGTCTATCTCAAAAATGTCCTCCATCGGTCAACTTCACAATTCTATGGCCCCAACGTTATATATATATATATATATACATATATATATATATATATAGTACTCTCAATTCCCGGAGCTTGCATGTGTCGCAACAAACGTGTTTCATCGACTTTTTCGAACTCCCCGTAGCAGATCATTCGCAAGGCTGGTACCTGAAGCAAATCCATTAGCGATCTTTAATAACATCCTGAGAAGCGATCTTTGATTTATGAAATCAGGTTGTTGGATGTGTAAAATGAAATTCCAGTTTCGGAGTCCGGCCTGGGCATATTTTTGTGGCAAGTTTCTTCATAACTGCAACTTGTGCTTCTAGAGGTCCATTGCGTGACGGTCGTTGTTGACGCGTTGTTCATAGCGTTTAGTCCCTCCCCGTCCCTTCGGCAATCTTGCAAAAAGGAGTAAGCTGGGTATCAGTGTTTTGACGTAAACGGGAGGGGATAAATTTTCAAATATTTTACAATAAATAAAGAATAAGTTTCAATATTTGTCTCCGAACTAATCAAAGGTATTGTAACAAGTACGGAAAACTGCGTGACACACATAAGTTCACAAGCGTTTGCCACAAAGTCCGCAGTTTGGCACACGGCATAACTATCGTCCGGACGCCATTCATGCATCTACCATTTTCGGTGCTGGGTGTGCGTATTTGTGATGTCTGTATGACCAGGTGCTGCGATTTCGTCACAATTTTCACACAGCTGAACCTCACTATGGCGTGGTCTGGTCTGCTCAGAGAGTCAACCAGTTGGCTACACTTAACAATATATTGAACCTAGGTGTCTCATCGGCCACACCTTGCAGCCCGTCGTAAAAACTCAGTTTGATTGATCTGCTGCAAATGTAGCTCGGTAGACAGCCACCACAGTGAATGCCTTTCGGGTGGGCCGCCACACTATGAACGCAACTGGTTCCAAAATAGATGTACACCTTGGACATGCTCACTCAGAGCGAACCAGACGTCTCATATACCCGAGTTATCCACTGGATCCCTGCTACTGCACTAGCAGTTAATGCCTACTACCAATACTGGACTTAGCCAGCTTGTAGCGCCCGACCTTCAGCTTCATCGTTTTACTGTAGTACTGACATTTCTGTCACAAGAAAAATCAAGCGGAATTTGTCGGCGGAGCCTACATGTTTTGAGGCCTCCGAGGAGCATTTTTTGGGGCATAATACATGACGTATTTTCCAGTTCATCCCCCTTCGCCAATGCTGAGAGTCTTTACTTGACTTGTCAGTTTTAGAGATTCGCGATCACTAGTGTTTTATGGACCGTTACGCACCTTGGGCACTGTTGTCGGAGCTCACCAAGACGATATTTCCGAGGAGCATTTTTTGGGGCATAATACATGACGTATTTTCCAGTTCATCCCCCTTCGCCAATGCTGAGAGTCTTTACTTGACTTGTCAGTTTTAGAGATTCGCGATCACTAGTGTTTTATGGACCGTTACGCACCTTGGGCACTGTTGTCGGAGCTCACCATGACTAGACGATATTATGCAGAATTGGCTTGTTTTATCCACTGCTCTAACTTTCGAGAAACTGTTAAATGTTTATTAGTTTGGGTGCTTCGAACAAAGAATTTTATGAATTTTTTTTCAATTTTTCACTGCTTAATGGGCACGGTTTCAAGGAAATGGCGTTCAAACTCGAGAAGGTCCTGTGTGAAACACACCTGACACTTTCAACGGTGTCCAGCGTTGTAAAACGTGCAGCACGCGGCAAACTAGAGGACTCACGTGCTACTGTGAAGATAGTTATCCCGTCAAGTCATTCCTTAAAAGTTGCGCATTGTTGAAACGATTTGAAAAGCCACATTTATTTGGCTACAAAGGACACTAGAATCAGCTGAACTTACTGAGGGATCGGCTGGTGACAGAATCACATGACGGATGTCACCCAAGGCCTAAGATGAAGCAGAACTAAAAAATTTCTGATATGGTTTCTTTAANCAGTCATGTGTCACATTCAGCAGGAATTTCACACGAGAAAGATTCTTCCGTACATGTGAACTGCATCCCCCAACTTTGACTGGAAAATTGTCCTGATTGTTGGCTTATGATATACATATATTTTGTCCGTGTATTCAACTGGTCTCATGACATACATATCCTCTTCTTCAGGCATTTGCCTCATATCCTTCGCGTGGAAAACTAACGATAATGACTGGACATCCTTTTGCAAATTTGTTTATTTTGATCACTTGAGAGCCCATCGAGTAGGTATTTCTCCTAGCCCCTTTGAGAAGAATGAGTAATTTGTTAGCTCACCTTGATTACCTGACTATTGAGTAAGGCAACGTTCGGTGTAACAAGGTGACCTGACTAAAATTTTGAGGCGATTCTCGTATTGCCTATATCTGTGATTCTCGCCTTCTATGAAAGCTGGCCACACCAAAGTGATGCAGTCCGGTTTGGAAGTTTGCCTGAATAAATTGACTTCAAAAGGACTTTACCAAGCCCAGGTCCCCCCACCGATATAAATAAAATGTTTATAAATAGACACATGGGAATTTGGATATTTGACTGATAGCCTGATAGTTGTTCTCGTAAAACAGTGAACTCACTAACTGTGACCGTTGACATGCCACATTGCTCCGTGGCGATTTACTGACCCGGCGATAGTCCATACATAATTACCAGCTGCAAGTTGTGCTGGTGGCCCACGACCTATCACTAATTCAATAGATTCCTCGCTCGAAGTTATCTCGGAACTGATCAAAAAGACTACTCTAGGGTGATGTTTGTCATATGGAAATTTCATGTTAAAGTGTGTTTATTTGTGTACGATTCAATCACCTCTAATATATTTATGCAATTGGATTACATTCGTTGTAGGCAATTCGCTTGTTTTATTTTATGGTTTGTACATTCTTAATGCGTCATTTGAAAACAACAACATAATTGGAAAATCTAGCGGCTGATATCCATAATGGATTTCTTTTCTCTCGCCCGGCTGAAAAAAACAGGCTGAATCGGCTGCCAATCGTATCTGCAAAATCCTTCGTGCGAATCAGGACAATGAGCGTTTGATGGAGGAGTATGAACGAATTGCTTCGGACCTTCTATCCTGGATTGAATCAAAGACGGTATTTCTGAAGGTGCGTCTACTCGTTCTTGCTTAGATTCCCGGATGAATTCGAAATGAATCCACCGTTTGTCATTTTTACAAGCTAATTTCGACAGTTATCCGTAGTGGTCTGTAATCACTTGGTGTTCTAAGGTTTGGGTAGATGGATTGCTGATCCTCCGGGTGAGGCATTTCTTCATGACCCCGTCCGTTCTGCTCTGAGCATCGTCCATATTCAGCACGTAGCTAACCATAGGACCATATTAATGATGAGTGCCTGTTGCACGACGAACTCCAGCTAATGAGTTGAGGCTGTTTTGCCAACCTATTGCGAGCATCTTATAAGTGAATGTTCTTCCTTATTACTGTCGTTGAAATACACTGCCATTCTATTGTGTAAATTCTACACCATCATGTGACAATATTTACTAGCTGTACCGTGATATATGAAATGTTAGACTGTCTATTTCACTAGGGTTTTCAGGGCATACCAAACCTGAGACGTCCTGGACAACCTGATCAGAAACATGGATCGTCATTCATACGTATAGCTTTGGAGTAGTTAGTAATTTGGACCAAACAAGGACTGGCAGGTGCTTATTATTGATAGAGTAGTCGCATGGACCGAAGTAACAGATTACACGAATTCATACTGCAATGCGCGTAAGTGTGATTAGTAACCGCGTGTTATTCTCCTGGGAAACCAAAGCCATGCACGACCGCTCCTGTCACATTTACTGGCTATACCAAACTGGTAGTGTTTGGCTCATCCTATCCTTACCAGTAATTTGTAATTCATTACCGTAGTCCTACATAAGGAATTTCATCGCACCAAACATTTTCCCCATAAAGGATCGGACGACTGACGGCACAATTTCCGGGACATGTATGAAACTGAATAACTATCGCTCCTATCGCCGGGATGAGAAACCTCCACGATTAGAGGACAAAGCGGCGTTGGAAAACTTGTTCAATACGCTGCAAACTCGTTTACGTCTTGCAAACCGCCCGGTTTTTCTGCCTGTTGAAGGCCACATGATTGCAGACATCAACTCGGCTTGGAAACAACTTGAAAACTATGAGAAAGGATTTGAGGTGAGCAATCCTAGTCGACATCACCGGACCATCACAAAACCCACATTTTAGCTGGGTCTTCCCTGATTTAGGACCTTGATTCTTCCGTGAGCGGCGTTTTCGTCTAACGTGTAACTGTTAACGACTGTCTCTTCCTCTTTGTAGAAACTAGCTGTTTCACGTAGATGCTTATTTGTGTCGCCAGTATTCCGCGGCTTGATCGTGTATCCGTCCGCTTGTCGTTGCGCAATGAACTAAAAGCTATCTCAGGGTAACATGCTTGAAAAACTGCGGGTTACTTTCTTGAGGCCTCTACCTAATTGTTGGCCGCATGCGGTGGCGAATTCCCGTGGTGTCATTATCATTCCAGGCTTATTTGTTGAACCTTGTTTGAACCTTATATCACTGATCACTTGATACATTTTCGGAATATTGTTCACGGCTTGGTTTCTGCTCTGAAATGAACGAAAAATGGCCGCGATGAGCTTGTGTGCACATGCCTCAGTGTCCGAGTTCTTCTTCACTCCTCAATGCTTTGTCCATATGGGGTACCAGATCGGGGACAGCATCATCGGTGTTGAAACTGATGCTTCACCGCTGTGCAACCATAAGACCCAGTTACTTGTATTTAAACCCCTAAAAAGAGAGAGGGCCAAAAAAATCGTCGAGAGCCGGACATGGCAATCGTCGCGAGCTTTTTGAGAAGCCTACACTTCAGATGGTTGGGGAAGTGACAGAGAGCAAGAACACGACCTCCATCGATTAGCCGCGATTCCTTGAACTGTCGCCAGCCAAGTGCGGGGCTCACGTGGACCCCGTTCTGAGAAACGGGATGCATCAACAACCCCTAACTTGGGAATCTCTATCAAGGATCGGGAAGCTTTTATTCCCCAATTTTTGGTGAACACCGACTACATTCGACTGCAATGGCGAACGGCTGTTTGGGAGCATGCAGCTATATGTTGCATTACTTGTTCAGTAATTGACTCAAAGTACTAGGTAGTAGTGTGACATAATCCGACGAGAGTATTTTTCCGTGCAGTTAAATAAATATTTTTGGTGGGTGCACTATCACTTGGATGAACAAGATAAAAATTAAGACTGTTATTTTTCCAGAATTTTGAATAATACGATGTGAATACAGGGACTGGTGGCTGAAAGCGTTCCTACTTGCCTCTTCAGTATTGAGGCAGGTGAAGAGGGCAACTAGTCTTACGGTATCTGCAAAGTAACTTGAATCACGTGATTACGGATAGGATAGGTTAGTCGATCAGGTTGCTTATTAATACATGAAGAATTCATCGATTGATCCAATGCAAGAGCCCAACCAGACGTCAGAAGGGGTGAGTTTTTGTACCGGAGACTGGATGATAAATATCGAGGTGAAGTAAGCTTAGTCCTCAGTAGCGAGAAGCTATCCGGTCATAGAAAACCGTTTTTTCCCCTTGGATATCCATCCAGCAGTTTCAACCCCCCACAAGTAAGCATATGCTTATAAAGATAGGGTGATACCTGGAGTATCTCATATGCTTTATTTAATCTTATCGATTTCTTAGAGTGCGTCTGTGGCATTCACGCAAGGACATTAAAGCAATTGATGTACGAAACCGTTTAGTGTGGGCTCCTATTTACTGATCACACATCTATATATATATATATCATATATATGATGTATGATGTATATGTATATATATGTATATATGTATATATGTATATATACATACACATATACACATGTATATATATGATATATACGATATATATGTAATGTATATATATATATATATCACATATATAAACACATGTAACCGTCTGTCGTCGCTCAAGAATACTCACTGGTTAGAACGCGAAATTCTTGACAGAACGTCCATGGTTCGAACCTAACCCTGGCATCCCGGCTGCACTTGTCTAGGCTTGGGAAACCTGGCAGTACCCCAGGTGCCTCCTTCGGGTCGTTTAGCAGCTAGGCAGCGAAAGGGTGTTACAGTTGGACGATATCGACAACTTTAAATCGTAAAACTACTTTAGGTATGCTTGTGTTTGCGCGGGACAAGAACACTATTGCCGGGTGCACCTTTTATCTTCACACAGGACTGGTTACTAACTGAACTCAAACGCTTGGAACAAATTGAGCATTTGGCGCGGAAGTTTCGTTTGAAGTGTGGCACGCATGAAGCCTGGACAGAAGGCAAAGCCAAGGCACTGGAAATGCGTGATTACGAGAATGCCAGTCTGTCCAGTTTGAGAGCAATGGCGCAAAAGCATTCGGCTTTTGAGGCTGACCTAGGGTCGCATCAGTCTCGGGTGGAGCGAATTGTGGCTATCGCAGAAGAGCTTAAGTGAGTTTGCTGTTTATCAATTCCATGCCATGTTTGGTTGCGTTTTTTCAATATGTAGCTTGTCTATATTTATAAGCAGCGAAGAATCAGAAACAGTTGATAATTTTTTCTCGCATACCATTTTCAGACAATATTTTTCCACCAAAGTAACTGTTTTTAACACACTTGCATTATCCAAATACCTTTTGCAGGCGAGTGTAAAGTGAATCGTAAACTCCATTGTTTTGACAGAAGGGTAGCAGACCACCAGCATAGAACTCGAAGCGAATGCAGGTTAAATGCAGGGCGCCATCACTCATGCGAGAGACGGAAAATCGGCCAGTACGTTTATCATGTGATACACGTGTGAAGTAAGGGGTAGATAAGCCACTGAATACTAGCTTGATGCATGTTGTGTTGTGGTTTGTGGGATGTGTATTGTTCACATTCACATCACTCTCGTTTGAACAGTCGTCCTCCTGTCCTGGCGCAATTATTCTGGTGAATCCGCACCTAAGGAGGGGGGGGGGGCAAGCACTGGACTCGAGTGAACTCCGGACACCTGACACATGCGAGACAAACGTGTTACCACTATTCTACCAGAGCACGTTGGACGCATATGAATTCTCGCGTCTGAACGGGCAAACGTGTTCACGCTTGAGCGAATACTAGCTTATCATCGATTACCACACGGTCAGCTCAATCAATAAGAGTCGTCGATGTTTACGGTCGTTAACACTGTTCGCCTGCGCTGGAATCCTGCCTGACCTTCACCAGTGGAGTGAAACTATACCTTTTGTTTCATCTTCGTATTGTTGTGTGTCGACTTCAGACAGAATTAAGCATGGATGTCCTGGAGGGACAACAGTTTGATGGGTCTCGTTGGGGTTCTGTTGCGAATGCAATTCTTGTAAAGTTAAGGATGAGGTAGTCGACAGGTGCTACATCCTGGTTGTGGCCAGTACTATGGGTGCCCTCAGGTGGACCACGGTTTAGTGGTTTATCCAGTGAAGTATGGTTCAAACTAATTCCCACAGCCACCGTGCTATAGTCCATGTGTCCGCTTCCAGGAATATATATCCAATGTGTGGAATCGAAGGAATGAATTTTCAGTAAGGGATTTATTCTAACACTCACTTAAACGGTAGAACAACCGTGCGACCTACGCTCGTGGGAAGTACGTTCAAGAGGGCCGTAACTTTCATAATATCCTAGGTATCAAGTCACGGTTCAATTACCATGGCACGTTTCTAACCTCGTTGCAAGAGTGCTGTAATTAGACCACACTGACAGCATCTTTGCCAAGATTAAAAATGAATGGATGTACATGCGGTCGATTTTGACAACAAGCGCGTTTATTTTACGTCTCACGCCGGCAACCATCATTGTTATTTTCCGAACCGCACTTCGCGTATTGTGGAGAAACAGTCTTCGAGTCTTGGTTGGTCTGAAGCATCGATGGTAACTGCAAATTTTAGGTTCCTGTAGAACTTTTAGAATGATTCCTATTTTCTACAGGTCTTTGTCCTCTGCGAACGATAAAACTCTGTGAACTGCTGAATTCCATAACAGTAGTCGTCTATGCCCCGAGGACTGTAGAGGAATGGTATACATGAAAACTAGCCTGAAGTGCTTATTTCCCCAGGGTTCGAGCAAAGTGGCCACCGGACGAACGTCTGTGTCATTATTCAGGCACCATACTCCTTTCCACAAATTTCAGTTTACACAGAATGACGTGAAGCCGCATCTAGATCTGCAATGTACGCTTGACTTGACGACGGACACCGCTCCAATGAACTTCAGCGGATAGGCAGATTCAACCACACAATGAAAGCGATTATAACAAGTTGATCTGAGGGCCCAAAAGATGCCCATTGTGTGGTTACATGGCAACCGAACACGAAAAAGAAGTTTGGGATCCCGACGCATGCGAACACTGCTCAGTGCAGTTCATTTCTGTAAGGGCTCAAAAAAGGATAAGCCGCAGCACTCCATTTCGGTTGATGTGTGGTTGATGCCTTTGAAAAGTCGCACATGGCTGTATGCCTATATGTTCAATAAGCCTCGTGATAACGGAATCGCGTTCGGGTTGTTGTTGGGTAGTGAAATGGAATGCTGTTTCTCACTTGTCTCGGGTCTTTCGAAAAACAGCCGAGCGGAAGGAGCAACCAAGTATACATATATTGATTAAGGGGCTTGTTCCTAGGGAAATCATTACTACACCTAATTTTCAAGTACCAGTGTTTTGTACACAAAAACGGAAGGCAACTATCGTTAAAACTGTCCAGTTTTTTTACACCGCTCATCAAGTGGAGTAGTATGAAAGTGCTACGCGTGCAGGAGAACAATTTTCTCCAGAGTTTATATAACCTGTTGCTTTTTGGGTTTCACTATGCAAAACGTTCGCCCAAAACGTCGAAATGGTAAGACTACAATCCGAGGTATGTGCGAATTGCTCATATTTATGTTTAAAAAGTGGTGTTTTCCTTATTTTATAACCTTTGCCATTCCGACCAGTATCCTTAGCTCAGCATCGCCTGGGAGCACTGAGCTGCACTCTAGCCCCCCCCCCCCCAGAACGTTCGCAAAACCATCGTCAAGGAGCGCCGGCAACTTTGCACATATCATGGATTGGGAGCTTGTATAGTTATCCTCGGTTCCGGTTTCTCAAAGATACCATAATCCGTTTTCTTAGCAAATGGTTTACACAATAAGTTTTCTGAATTCTGTCATCTGTTTTCGATTATGGTAGTCCATCAGATCAAGCCCTGTGTTTTTAATGACTGTCAGAACTCAAAATTCTCTAAAGTATGATGCCTATTCATCTGTAGCTAACAGCATCCCGGTTAGTTGGCACTGATTGCTTTACCAAACACCTGGGCACTCACTTTGGGATCCGTACCTGCTAGCATGCTACTACAACTACGGTGCCATGTTGAATATGGGCATAATTCTCGTTTCAAACAGTAAAATTAAAGTGGCTAGGTGGCAAGTAAATTAATTCTGTGCCACTATGGTCAACGGCTACCATGCATGTGTTATTTAGAGACTACATCTGATCAACAATCGCCATTGTCTGAATTCGTGCGCCACACAGCTTCTTGTTCTGGCCACCTTTCCCTCTTCACTATTCTCCGTATATCACAGTTTAAATTACCCCTTGGTTCTCGCTCAGACTATCATTTTTTAAACCTCCCTTGTTTGTAATGGCGGTAAATATATGTTTTGTTAAAAACGACGATACGCTTCGAACAACTTTTGCCTAGTTAACTTTTCTCTCATCGGCCTATGGTGAATGAATTTCTACTGCACTCACAGATCAGGGTGGCAATTTTCGATTATTCTAGATTTCGGAGGGCAAATTATGCGTTTTGTGGAATAGTTCAGCGGACTTTTTTCAAATAAAGGTCACTGTGGCATCATTCTAGCTTTGTTACGGCCTTCTGACACAGCAGCTTCTTTTCCCACGGTTATGGTGCCATCCAAGAATGTGCACAAGATTTGTGTTAGACTAGGCGCCAGTTTAAAACGATCATTTATGCAGAGAGGCAAATAATAAGGGAGCTTGTTGATTGCCAACCAAGGGAAGTGAACCTTTGGAAAAGTCCATAACCGTAACATGTGGCACTAAGCAGTGGCACTAACAACAGTGTGTGCTATGCTTGCCGCTTTTCTAGTTCCTATTAATGTGTTTTGGAGTGGCCGAGGTTGCATCCGGACGTTGCGGTGAGACGTGACGTGCAGTACAGTGCATGATCAATACACCGTTCAAGAAGGTCCACCGTTTTCAAAGTGCCTTAGTCCCCTATTCACTGACAATAAGGGGTTAGCAATTTGAAATAAGCTTGCTTTGGTCGGTAATGGATTACCCTATTCCAGTGGGAGGCGTTAGCTCATCGATGACATCGGAAGTTGATGTATAGTTGATGCACGTTCCTGTGTGGTGCTCTACGGTGCTTGAGTAATGGTGCAGATAGCTGCACACTAGATTCGATAATTTCGGGATATGAAGATTGACTACCATGGCTCCTAACGTCGTTGGTCACCTGCTTGTTTTCTCTCAGAGTTTCTCACTCAGAGGGAATCCACAGTTAATGCTTCGTTTTCAGATCATCGTCTAACCAGTTTTTGTCCCTTTTCACTGAGCACTTGATTGGATATCTCAGTGACAAATGGTGCTCCTGCATGTGGTGTATGTGACCTAACTGACAATACTCGTAGGCGGCTAGAGATCTGCCATTCTTCTCAAGACGAATCCTGTCAACAGTTACCCATTAGACCTGGACAGCATTCTGGAAACAGCGATGATTACAGGCTGAAAGCATTTCTTTTTCCCTCTATTCGCAGCAGCTGCAAGATAACTTCGACAAGAGCAAGCCCATTGCAGCGTCATAGACTTTTCCCTCAAGGCCCAGTCCTGCGCCATAGATTTCAAAGCTTGGATTTCGATATCGATGGGTAACTTGTTCCCTTGCTGGGCAGCCGGGTCGATTTTGACTACCCAAATAAGTGGTCAGATGAACGACAATCTGATCGATTGTTTGAAACAGCTACCGAGTTTCTTATAACAATTTACCCAACGCCTCTCTGGTTTTGGTACCTTCGCTAATATGGTAGGAACACCAGGTAGAGGCCTACTGTAATCCGTCAATTGTTGCTTGGAAACTGTGATGAAGTTAAAAGTTGTTTTTTTTTCAACCTGATTCTACCTGTATTTAGGTTAGTGAAAATAATCTCTTCAAGCGCCCATCGATTTTTGGAGAATATCTTGTGGAATTTATTCGTTAAGAAATTCGGCTGTAGTAATTAAGGATCAACATGAATTCTCTTATTTCTGCGGACAGAGAAACAAACGTTAGTCACCAAAGTGCTTGGGAAACAGCTTGCTTCATAGTATTGAAGTACTCAATATAGATTGCCATAATAAATCATTCTAACTTTCCCGCACCAATCTTAAAGTGGCCTGACGATTAGATTGGTTTTCTACAGTATGTAGGTGTTCTTTCGAATTATTATTATTAGTAGTAGTATTAGTGAATTACCCATCGAGATTTCTTCCTGGGATGAAATTCTCGATTCCTATTGAGGAACCGGGTAACCATATGATCGCGTAGCGTGAACTGTGCAGTTGATGAATGATGGTTCTGTAACCCGTCCAGACGTAGGTCAGTTTCACAGTGGTGCAGCTTTTGCTCCTGACAACAATCTTCGACCGTCAACTGAAAGCCTGGGTGTATGAATCTCCCCAGATCCTGTCTTACACCTCCCAAGGAAAGAACGGCTAATACCTATCGGAAGCTGGATAAGCTGATCTTCCAATCCTTCATACCCTACTCTCCCCACCCGACGCCAAAGTTAAGGAAGGATGTGTCGCGTGGAGATAATGCACTGGAATACCGAGTTGCGTTGCACCGAGACGCCACGGTCGAATAACAAATGCGGGTTGGTTGACGAACACCCTCGGCTTCATAACGCACTGCCCTGGATGGTGCACCTGTCAAATTCGGCATTTA